TTTACTCTCTAAATTTTTAGTTCGAATTCTTTTCTGTTCTTAAGAATTCCTACTGCTCTTAATGTTCTTCGCAACTCCAGCCTAGAACATTACAATTGGTATCAGAGCTTTTATGAATTTCAGATTCATGCGAAAATATTGAGTGAATCCTGGCGAAAAAAATAACAGTAGCTTCGCTCTCAGCTCTAATGGAGGACAAGGTGCAGGGCTTAGAACGACAATTGGAAGAACAAATGTTGTTGAACGAAAAGAAATTTGAGGAAACTAATCAAAAACTGGATGCATTACTTTTGTTTTTACAAAAGAAGAGTGAAGAGGATGGAGGAACTCATTCACAACACATCAACTCACCGGTAATTCATTCTGCTTCAGGAAATTATCATCATCATGGTCAGCCCAACTCAGGTAATCATGCTAAATCCTTTGGATTCTTGCCAAAATTGGAGTTTCCAACATTTGCGGGTGTCAACCCTAGGGTTTGGATTCAGAAGTGTGCCAAATATTTTGAATTATGTGCTGTAGAACACAATCTTAAGGTAGATATGGCATCTCTGTACTTATGTGGTAGAGCTGAAACCTGGTTTACAAGTTACATTTCGGTTCAGGGGAAGGTAACTTGGGAACAATTTGTCATTGACATCTGTGCAAGATTTAACGAGGACTTGGGAAGCACTGTGGTGGAAGATTTTAATAAACTGACACAGAATAAATCTTTAGATGAGTACTTGGATTCTTTTGAGCAGCTGAGAAGTTTGATGTTGCAGAGAAGTGAAAAATTACCAGAAGGATTCTTTTTGGACAGCTTTATTGGGGGTCTAAATCCTACTATCAAACACTTTGTCAAGGCTTTCAAGCCTAAGACATTATTACAGGCCATGGAGTATGCCAGACTCCAAGAAAACAACTTAGAGGCATTCAAGAAACTGGGAAGAAATGAAGGAGAAAGGTTTCCTTATAGAAACTCGGAAAGAGGTACCATTAACCCTTATAGAAATGCTACTCCAGGAGTTGGCAAGGGAATATTACCTAAACCTATCAGCGTGATTAAAGATTCCAAAACTTTCCAGCCCCAAGGAAGAAGAAATTTATCAGCTACGGATATAGAAGAGAGAAGGAAGAAAAACCTATGTTTCTACTGTGATGAGAGGTATTCTCCTGGTCACAAATGTACTGCACAACTATATCAAATCCAAATGTTAGCCACTGAAGAGGATAGAGAAGCAAGTAGGCATGAAGAAGAAGAAGAAAGGTGGGAATACAATTCAGAATGTGCAGAAGTGGAGACTAATGATATTGAGATACAACCTTTGATATCACTGAATGCACTTACTGGACAACAGCATTATCAAACTATGAGGGTGACTGGAAGAGTCAAGAACAATGACTTGTATATTCTAATTGATTCAGGGAGTACCCACAATTTCCTAGACTTTAATACTGCCAGAAGATTGGGGTGTCACATCTCAAAATCTATTCCTTTGGAAGTAGCTGTAGCCAATGGAGAGAAGCTTATTACCAATCAGACTTGCCAGGGTTTCAAATGGAAAATACATGGGCATGAATTTCAGATGGATGTGATGTTAGTACCTCTGGGAGGGTGTGAAATGGTGTTGGGCATCCAATGGCTAGCTTCTTTGGGTCCTATCAAATGGAACTTTAAAGAACTCATTATGGAATTTCAATATTGCAACAAGAAGGTGGTACTGAGGGGAAACAAAAAGGGAAAAGTGCTCAGTATTAAAGGGGAACAGATGTCCAAAGAGCTGAGAACTGGTTTTGGACAACTATGTTGGATGAACATTCAACCTCATACTGCAGAAGAACAACAATTAGAAGATGTTCCTAAGGAATTACATGGAGTTCTAAGGGAGTTTAAAGAGATATTTGAAGAACCTAAACAACTCCCTCCTCACAGGGAACATGATCATGAAATTCACTTAAAACCTGGTACTAACCCCATCAATGTTAGACCCTACCGGTATCCTATGGTTCAGAAAGATGCTATCGAGGAAATAACACAAGAAATGATGGAACAAGGGATTATAAGATACAGTCACAGCCCCTATTCAGCTCCGGTAGTAATGATTAAAAAGAAGGATGGCAGTTGGAGATTTTGTGTAGACTATAGGGAGCTGAATAAACAAACCATCAAGAACAAGTTTCCCATCCCTGTCATTGATGAATTACTGGATGAGTTATATGGGTCTCGGATTTTTTCTAAAATTGACCTAAGAAGTGGGTACTGGCAAATCAGAATGAAGGAAGAGGATATTGAAAAAAACTGCCTTTAGAACCCATATTGGACATTTTGAGTTTGTAGTAATGTCCTTCGGGCTCACAAATGCTCCCTCTACCTTTCAAGGCCTTATGAATCACATATTCCAGCCCTTTCTAAGAAAATTCATTTTAGTTTTCTTTGATGATATTTTGATCTATAGCCCAGATGTAAAGACTCATGCAACTCATCTAAGGCTGGCTTTGGAGACTCTTCAAAAGAATACACTCTTTGCTAAAAGAAGCAAATGCTCATTTGGAGTATCTCAGGTGGAGTATTTGGGGCATATTGTTTCTAAAGAAGGGGTAAGAACAGATCCAGGGAAGATTAAAGTTATGGCCCAGTGGCCTGCACCAAAAACTATCAAAGACCTTAGAGGATTCCTGGGCCTCACAGGGTATTATAGAAAGTTTATCAGGCATTATGGCATTCTGAGTAAACCCCTGACCAGTTTACTTAAAAAAAATGCTTTTCAATGGGGAAAAGAGGCAGATGAAGCTTTTAATACCTTGAAGCTAGCTATGACTCAAGCTCCAGTATTAGCTCTTCCAAACTTTAACACTACCTTTGAAGTTGAAACTGATGCTTCAGATGTGGGAATAGGTGCAGTACTATCGCAGCAACAACATCCAATTGCTTTCTTAAGCAAAGCTTTGTCTGAAAAACACAAGGCCCTATCTACCTATGAAAAGGAATTATTGGCAGTCATACTAGCTGTGGAAAAATGGAGATCCTATTTGACTGGACATCACTTCATCATCAAAACTGATCATTTCAGTTTGAAATATTGGCAGGAACAAAAAATTACTACACCATTTCAAAGCAAATGTTTGCCTAAACTAATGGGTTTGGATTATGAGATTGTGTATAGAAAAGGGAAGGAAAACTCTGCAGCAGATGCTTTATCAAGAATAGATCATGGCAGGTTGTTGAGCATCATGGTATCTGAGATTAATGCTGAATTAATGGAGAAAATCAAGGGTAGCTGGCAAGAAGGAAGGTTTCCAAAGTTGATTGCTAACTTGCAAGAAGGGACTAATCATGACAAAAAATATATGTGGAAGGAGGGCAAGTTATTAAGGAAAGGCAAACTGGTAGTGGGTGATAATGAAACTTTGAGGAAGGAAATTGTTTTGGGAATACATAACTCAGCCATTGGGGGTCATTCCGGAACACAAGCTACTTATCAAAGAATCAAAACGTTATTTCATTGGAAGAGAATGAAGAGGGATGTACAAGAATGGCTTGCTCAGTGCAACACTTGCCAGAAAAACAAACCATTGTTAAACAGCCCTGCAGGATTCTTTGGTCCATTTGAGATTGTACAAAGAAAGGGTCAAGTAGCTTATAAGCTAAATCTTCCCATAGAGGCAAGAATTCACCCAGTGTTCCACATTTCTCAACTTAAGAAGCATAGAGGGGATCTGCCTGAGAAGTTAACTCTACCTCAATTGGATGATCAAGGAGTCATTAGAGTGGAACCTATGGTTGTGCTTGAAAGGAAAATGGCTAAGAAGAAAAACCAAGCTGTTGTATACTGGTTGGTTCAATGGGCAAATGGAACTAAGGAAGATGCTACATGGGAGTCTTATGAGGAGTTATCAAAGAGATTTCCTGAGTTTGTAAAGAACCAACTTACAGCTTGAGGACAAGCTGTGTTTAAGGGGGGTGGATTGTTATAATATCAGATAGTAGGCCACTCTGGCAATACATATTGTACACGTGTAATATCACGTATATGTACACTTTAACAGATTAGTTCTAGAAGCTAGTTAACTAATTCTGTTAGTCTCGTTTGAGCAGTTGTAGCCAAGGCTTTGTACATAAATACGTTGCTTGAAAGAAATAAAGGATATGGATTCTGATGATCATCTTCTTCCCTACAAAATTTACTCTCTAAATTTTTAGTTCGAATTCTTTTCTGTTCTTAAGAATTCCTACTGCTCTTAATGTTCTTCGCAACTCCAGCCTAGAACATTACACGATGCAGATCCACAATCACCTCCAATTCCGTTGAACGCTATTGACATCACTCGCATCAAGAGAAGACGGCAAAAGCCCCAAGCTTTAATCGGCCGAGAAAGCCACACGAAAAAAGCCCTATGCAATATGTTTTAAATCAATTTATATGTGTGAAGATATAATTATAATTTTACAGATTTTACGTTAAACTAAAATTTTATTTATTTTAAACTAGTTTAAATCTTTCGAACATGGCAAGAAATAAACAAAATATGCAAAATCATTTAAATTTGTTAAAAGATTTTTTAAAATGAAAAATAAAAGAAAAAAATAGCTGCGATTAGAATACTCGACATACTTTGTAGTTCATAAAAGTTCCACAAAGAGAAGTTTAATAATTAAATAAGAGCAAAACATATCACATTTTCTTATTTCTTAAGTAGAAGTGTGAAAGTGTCATTGTATTTTGTCTACTATTTATAGGACTCATTCGATAATGTTTTAAATTTTCTGTGATTTTATTCTTTAAGAAAAACAAAATGATTCCTATTTGGGTAATAAAATACAAAAAAGTCTATTTTTCCTAATCTGCGCTTATTCCCATTTGGGCAAATTCTTTTCCCCACGTTATTTGTTAATTCATGGGTCCATTTAGACAAAAAAAAATTCATGGGTCCATTCGACACATGTTGAGAATTGTCAGTTGTCACTTTATCACACAGTGAATGGAGCCATTTGATTCATTTCAGCCCCATAAAAGTATAAAACATCTCACACTTTTAATTCACTCAAATAAAGGATCACATATATTCCGCTTCTACCTAAAAAGTAGAATCAAAATCAAACTTTTCTTGTATATAATGTTCTAATAGCCCTTATTACAATAAGAAGTATATAATCAAGAATCACTCTTGGTTTAGTTTTATCACTCATGTTTCCTTGACAGATAAGGCACGTATACCTCTTTGACTTGCTGAAATGGAGTCTGATCATCATGGTGATATCAATGAAAAGCTATTGGAAAAGAGAAGTCATTCAAAAGAGTGTGGTGAAGAGGAAGGTAAGTTAGGGGAAAAGATATGGTCAGAGATGAAGAAATTGTCTGTTGTGGCTTTCCCAGCAATATTTACAAGATTCACTACATTTGGGATTACTATTATCAGCCAGGCATTTGTTGGCCACATTGACCCTGTTGATCTTGCAGCCTATGCTTTGGTACAAACAGTTCTGTTGAGGTTTTGCAATGGAATACTGGTATGTTTTGTTAGACCATCCTTATTAGTGCCCTGTTTGGATGGAGGGTTTGAAGGGGTTTTGGCTTTTGAGTGCTAAGGCCCATTTGGTAACCAGACTTATTTTACTTCTGAATAGAAACAGAAGTAGTTTTTCACTTGTTTGGCACAATTGAGCTATTGCACTATTATGAAAGTGACACTTTTATCCTTCAAGTCTTCAACTATTGTTATAAAGCAATGACACATTTGAATATTTGATTCTCCAAATATTATGATAAAATCATACATTCATACCTAAAATTGCAAGTGTCACTTTTATACTATTTGAAGGACTACAAATGAAAAAAAGAGTACAAAAAATGTATAGGACTAAAGTTAAAAGTTCAAGTTCAGTTATCAAAAGTGTCATTGACACGGTAGCAGAAAGACTAAAAGTGGCAAAAACTGTCATTCTTCATCACATTTAGTCATTTAATCACGTCAAAAACATTGTGACACATTGGGCTAAATATGAAGTAACAAACTCAGATACAAGATATTGGTTTAGTCACTTGACATTCCATTTTCTTTGTTTCATCTTTCTTTTTTGTATATCCCGCTAAATTGTCTCATAATATATTTGATAGTATGTATGTGGTTCTAATTATTTCGTACTTTATTACTACGCATAATTTATCAATTTAATTTCCACTACATAATGTCACTTTTCTTGATCATATTACTTCCTCATGTCCCAAACTTAGTGGGACATAGTGGGGCAGAGGTAGTAATTAAGAGTCTTAATATGTCATTATGATCAAACCCAATTGTAAACATAATATTGGTTTGTCTCACAGTGACAGTATATGAGATAAGAAAGGATCAAATAACAATTTTTGGGTAACAGTTCTACCCGTTTTTTGGATCATATAACATCTTAATCACTCTGTATTCTCTTTTAGATGCATTCTACTCATAGAATAATCCCACCAAACCCTGCACTTAAACTGAGCCTGAGAGCTTATGCAATATGAGAATTCAAATGAGCAGTTTAAGTTGTATGTGCAGTTGGGGATGGCAAGTGGATTGGAAACACTATTAGGACAAGCATTTGGTGCAAAACAGTACCACATGATGGGAATATATCTCCAAAGATCATGGATTGTCTTGTTCACAACTACAACTTTACTATTACCCCTATTTTTCTTCATTACTCCCATATTCAGAGCACTAGGACAGGACGAAGACATTGCGCGAGTGTCGGGAATCATTTCCCACTGGTTGGTACCTGTGGCGTATGCATACATTGTATCATTCACCTGTCAAATGTACCTTCAAGCACAGAGCAAGAACATTATCATTTCATATTTGGCAGCCGCCACACTGGCGATTCACATATCACTGTCCTGGCTTTTGACAGTGAAGCTCAAGTATGGACTTCCGGGTGCCATGATTTCTACTATATTGGCATTCTGGATTCCTAATTGGGGTCAGCTTATATATGTTATATGTGGAGGATGCAAAGAAACTTGGGCTGGTTTCTCGTTCCTCGCCTTCAAGGATCTCGTCCCAGTTATCAAGCTTTCCTTTTCAGCTGGTGCCATGGTCTGGTAAGCCCATATATATTGTCTAATGAATGAAATTGATTTGATGTAGCCATCTATAAAGGCACATAAGTTATAATGTCTTAGGCTAGCATAGCTCATTGATTAGATTTAACCTTTTTGTTGGGTTTGAGTCGTTTGAAATGTGTTCAAACGTTCAAAAAATCCCATTTAGGAACTAGCCTTCCATCGAGTTTCAACGAGTACTCACATACAATAATCGGACTACTTCTCTTATAAGGTTAATCTGTTAAATAAAACTCCAAATCTTAATAACTTGTTAGTGTAAGCTAACAAAGTCCAAGCCCTCACTAGATGCTAGCTACTAGTCTTTTGTCCACGGTGAAACCTTTCATACTAAATCTAGATGACCAAATATTCTGATCTTGGAAAGCATTTTGGGTTTTGTGGCAGTCTTGAGCTCTGGTACAACTCCATATTGATTCTTCTTACAGGAAACTTGAAAGATGCTAAGATTCAAATTGATGCTTTGTCTATATGGTTAGCCCTTTGACTTATTTCCTGGTACTCTATTTAGGATTGTAATTTAATGCGCATGAGCTTCATTTCTTCACTGCTTCATGATGTCCTTTGCAGCCTCAACATCAGTGGCTGGGAAATGATGATATCTCTTGGTTTCATGGCAGCAGCATGGTACTGAATGCATTATCATATCACATCTCTTGATGATATTATTGAAATGAATTGTTTGTATCCTTTTCAAATTTTTATTAATTCAAATAAAGGATTTATGTATACAATGGAAACAATCTTCACAACTATCAACATAGAGACGATCTTCACACAAAAAATTTCTACTCAATCGTTGAGCACCACTCAAGCTTGAAGTTCTCTTTTACCATAAAGACTCATACTTTTAATATACACTGTTAATTATTAAATGAATGAAAACTGCCATAACAATTTTAAATAAAACTTTAAAACTCGATTCAAACTCTCTCGATTTTATTGAGATGTTGTTTAATGATAAAAGTATACAATATTAACCTTCATGAAAAAGTTTTGGGCTATTTGATCTATCAAGTTGATCGACTTATATATTGAATATGACATTTTTTTTTACCTATCATTGCATTTTCTTCTTTTAGTTCTTTAGCTTTTGTGATGACAACACTTATTCTTGCAACCACTGTCACTATAAAAAAAAATTGGGACATTTAAAATGTCAATGTCACAATAGTTAGACGACATAATTTTACTTGACAGAATAGTTATATGACTAAAAAGGAAGAAATCAAAGATAAATATTAAAAACTATCTATGTCAAAATAGGCAAATGACTAAAAAGTAATTTTTTTAAAGGTGTAATGTGGTTTGACACAACAGTTTTTTTTTGCAATCTCTCTAACCTATTTACATATCTACTCAATGATAATGCCTTCACTTCCGAAGTTAATACTCATGTCATCTGACCATATGGTACTAAATGTTGACAAAATAGTTAAATGATAAAAATGAGGACATTCTCTTAGAACTCATTGAGCACACACAAAGTTAAAACAAAGGAACAGTTGTTAAATTATACCTATTGATGATAACCAAAAGTCCTTTTAATGGAAATTACCAAAGGATAGTCTTAAAAGTTTGATTTTCTTGATTTACTTATAGTGTGCGAGTTGCAAACGAGTTGGGAAGAGGGAGTGCAAAGGCAGCCAAGTTATCAATCAATGTGGTTGTGCTAACATCCTTTGCCATAGGACTTGTGTTATTCATGGTTTTGCTCCTCCTACGAGGAAAGCTAGCTTACTTGTTCACCAATAGTCAGGAGGTGGTCGAGGCCGTTGATCAATTATCACCTCTCTTAGCATTTTCCATCCTTCTCAACAGTGTTCAGCCAGTCCTATCTGGTAAACCAATTTTGCATGATCCCTTATTACACAAATGCTATTAGCAATAAAAACATGTCATATGATAATCAGATGGTGATGATATGGAACATACATTATGGGTTTGTGAAACATACATACAGGAGTTTCTATAGGGGCTGGATGGCAGAGTACGGTGGCGTACGTTAACCTCGGATGCTATTACCTGATTGGGATTCCGGTCGGTGTCGTGCTTGGGTATGTCCTGAATTTGCAGGTCAAGGTTAGTTGGCTACTTTCCACTTCCTATTGGGTTGGGTTGGAATATAATCAGAAGTGTGTCTAAGAGGTCACAAGTTCAATTCTCATTTTACGCTTTTTTTAATCGAATTGACTAGTTTAATTTGCATGGCGTTTAGTCCAAAGGTTTATCAAACATTGTGTGCGGGTTCCCATAATAAAAGAATTGTGATAGGGGAATAAACTAGAAAATAAGTAGAATAAATCTCATATAAGAATTTAAAAAACGAATTGTTGTGGGGAATAAACTAGAAAGAAAATAGACTAAATCTCATATCAAAATATTTAATAAAGAAATGATGAGATAATATATACCTAGTATAATATAAGAGATAAAAGAACTATTAGCCCACTCTTGAAATCTATCTATAAACAAATATATACATGTGAATGATGTGATATAACAATAATAAAAATGCTTTAAACTTTACTAATGAAATTTAGGTTTCTGTTCCAACTCATTCTACATCTCTACTTGAGGCTAAGCATCCAAAATCAATACATACATCGATACTTATATAAATACATATAGGGTGCGGTTCCGGTAAGAAGCCTCTAGGTGAGAAACGAGAATGAATTTCAGATGTTGGCTTCATCTATGTTGCAATAAATGAATTAAAGAGTTTCATGTTATATACTAAAAGACGCAACCATGTCGCAATAAAGGAATTTCAGATGGTGGATTCGAAAATATATACTTCTTATAATCACGTCTTGCATCTCTTCAGTGCAATATGAAGTTGTTTTAGTGCAACATCATTAAATCCAATAATCTAGATTCATTCTCGTTTCTCACATTAGATGAATTTCTCACTTGAACCAAAATCGAGGAAACTTTAGTATGCATACAATGCCTGACATAAACAAATCATGTTATGATTTAATATATAGATTGATTGGTTAAATTTCATTAATGACCTATGTATATATATATGTAGTATATATTAGTTAATTAGTTAATATTAATAAGAAAAATTGATTATATAACTTCAAAACAGGCTACTTTAAGTTGATATATAGCCTCTATTATTTTTTATAAAGCATTTGCTAATATTTACGTGGTGATTATAACAAGCATTTTCATCAAAGTTCCCTTTTTTTAAACGGTGCTCTATTGGATAGGAACGTAGTTATTTGTTTCAGTTTTACATATTAAAATTTAAAAAACAACAATTGTATGTAACTATGTATAGGAAATCCACAACATATTGTAGGTGACTTCTTATTAACTGTATTTGCAGGGTGTTTGGATAGGAATGTTGTTTGGTACATTCGTACAGACCACAGTGTTACTCATAATCACTTTTAGAACCGATTGGGACAAGCAGGTACTATTCTACCATTTTCGCATCTCTTTTTAACAATATATAATACGGAGTATTGTTTTTAGAAAGTGACACTTTTAGTTCTATATATACTTAATTCTAGCTACATGTTAATCCTTGAAAATTTGACCTCTTTATTTTCACCCCCAAGTTTTATTCTGAGTGAATATTTTAGCCAGAGTACCCTCAAAAGTCAAAACCGTATGGAAGAATAAAATCACTTAATAACTCAAAATATAGGGGTCATTTTTTTGGAAGATTAAGAGTGCAGCCTAAGGTTATAAGTCAAATAATTGAAAGCGTCATCTTCTTTACCATTTGCAATTTACATCTCTTTTGGAGAGGTTGTAATTGTTTTGGAAAAGCACACTTTTAGTCCTCCAGTAATATCTTTAGACTTTAGTATACATTATCCTACATTATTTAGTTCTCAGTTAATTGATCTTCCTATTCTCAACCACAATTTCACCAAAGTTGGGTTTTAGACTTGGTAGAGGATGAACAAAAAAGGCACTTTGGAGAAAACAAGTGACTGAAAACACTTAGGGTCTGTTTACTTAGTAAACAGAGATATTTTCCAGTTTTCCAGAAATCTGGAAAACGGGGAAAACAGAAAACAGGAAACGTGTTTACCAAATAAATTGCTGGAAAACTGGAGAAAGGAAAAAAGAAAAATGCGTTTACCAAATCGTTTTCGAAAATAGAAAAAATGAGACATGTCTCTCTTTTCCTTAATGATTTGGAAAAATGACTTTTATTAGTTTTCCAAATTTGGAAAACGCAAATGTTACAGTGTCGCTGCAATGAATTTGCATACTTACACCTAGGAGTGGGCGAATCGGTTTACGGTTCAGTTTTTATCGGTTTCGGTTCAGTTTCGGTTTGAGGAAAATAGTACCAAACTCAAACCAAAAGAATTTCGGTTTGGTTGCGGTTCGGTTTGGGAAAAATTCGGTTTGGTTCGGTTTGGTGTTCGGTTTGATGTTCGGTTTATAAACTTGAAAATAATTATGTCTTGTTTCATATTTTACAATCCACTTTGAGTAATTTTGAATGTTTTGTTTTCATTGAAATTCCAACTAAATGAAATATTAGAACCAGCCTTCACCAAACCAATTGAACAACCTGCCTTCACCTGCTTAAACAACCTGCCAATTGAAATTCCAACTAAATGAAATACTAGAACCTAGCTTAAACAACCTGCCTTCACCTGCTAAACCAATTGAAACAAACTAAACCAAAGACTCACACAGAAATAGAAATATAAATATAAATACAATTTGCTATTGATATCGCCAAACATAATAAATACAAATATGTCGTATTAGCTAACTTTGTCATAATGAATGTTTGAAATGTGTAAAAGTTAAAATAATACGAGTATTCTTAAATATGCATTTTCATGTCTAAATTTTTTATTTATATCTTAAAATGAAGAGTGAAGATAAATACAAAGTGTGTGTGTGTATTGTTCGGTTCGGTTCAGTTTTGTTCGGTTTTTATCGGTTTCGGTTTGGTTCGGTTCGGTTTAATACGGTTTGAAAGAAATAGTACCAAACTAAAACCAAATTGCATACGGTTCGGTTTAGTTCGGTTTGGTACGGTTCGGTTCGGTTAAACCAAACCGTTATGCCCACCCCTACTTACACCTAGTGGTGGGTCCGGTCCCGCTCCGATGTCGATTCCATTCCGGTACCTCCATCCTCGTACCATACCCTACCCTACCCCTACCCCGCGTACCCATTTTTCCCTATAATGACCCTACCCCACCCCCTACCACATGCCCCTACCTCGGCCCCACCCCGATCCACCCTACCCTACCGCCACCCCTACCACCTCGACCCCACCCCGACCCACCTACCCTACCCCCACCCATATATTACCCCTTACCACATGCCCCCTACCTCGGCCCCACCCCACCGCCATCCTACCCCCACCCTCTTACCGCTATCCTACCCCCCATCACCATCCTACCCCAACCCTACCCTTCCCCTACCTCGGCCCAACCCGGATCCCGGGCCCACCCTACCGCCATCCTATCCCAACTCCCTACCCTACCCCTACCTTACCCCAACCCTACCCACTACCCCACCCTTACCCCTAACCACGACCCTAACCCACCCAACCCCCAACCCCTAGACCTTACCACCCCACCCCGACCATACCCCTTACCCCACCCCCGCCCATAACTTCCTTACCCCGACCCCTACGAGTAGGTATGGGTGGGTATGAAGGGTTGTGGGGGAGTATGGGTAGAGTGTAAGATCATGGTAAGGGTAGGGGTAGGGGTCAAGGGTGTGGAATTGGAGAACTGGGTGAAAAAATTGATGAACATGTTTTCAGATTTGAAAATGGAAAACTAAAAAATAGAAACAGAAAATTGGAGATAGAAAAACTGAAAAATAAAAACAGAAAATTGGAGAACGAAAAACAGAAGTAGAAAACAGGAAAATATCTCTGTTAGTAAACATGCCCTTAATTTCTTAGGGATAAAAATATGCCAAGAGAAACTGAAAGTTTGCTTTTTTAATAAGTTAAACACTTTATGGGATATATTTAGCTCATACTGATCTGTTAGTGATCACTAATCACTGTTGATAGTGACTAACCCTACCCGCTAGAAATCCTAGATTTGTCACCATTAAACCCACTATGGCACTGCCTAGGCATGAAGCAGTAGTGAAGGTTCCTTGAACATGACAGCGAGCAGTGGAAATGGATGCTCTTATGATGAGATGGAGCAGATGGGGGTCTAGCATATTGATCTATGCAATATCACTTATAAGATTGTGGCAGAGGTTTTTACTAATTGGGTGAAACCAATTATGAGTGGACTCATTTGAGACATACCAGGAAAGTCTATTGTGGATAATATTGTGTCTGTTTTTAAAATGCAACATGATGTTAAAAGAAAGCAACAAGGAAACGTTAAGACGTTACGTTTTGCGGCCATGAAACTTGACATGAGCAAGACTTGCGACAGGGTGGATTGGGAGCTTCTTCAGTAAATTATAAAGTTTAGACATCTATAATTTATATAAAGTGTGTGACTTTAACAAACTTTGAACCCTTTCCGATAGTCATAGCTTGGGTTGTTGATCCCTCCTCGGGGGGGGGGGGGGGGGGGGGGGGGGGTAGAGAGGAGGATCCTGTGTCACAGTACATGTTTTTCTTGTTACACATAATCTCTTCATTCTTATTAGAATATATGAGGACTATGGAGCTATACATAGCATGTTTGTTGCACAAGGTGGGCCTCAAGCGGCATACATATTAATTGTAGATGAAGAATTTATTTTCTTTCATGCTTCTACGGAGGAAATCAAGGTGATTAAGTCAACTTTGCAGAGTGCGAGTAAGCATCGAGACAAGATTTTAATTTTGATAGATTTTAGCCGAAAGGAGGAGGAGTTGGGGAGGCATTTTGAGAGTGGGTATAATTAAGAACAAGGGATAAGTATCTTGGGTTATCAACTTTGGTGGGATCATGATATTTTTACTGAAAACGGATTTTTAGGCTATGACAACTTTTGCCATGAATCTTTTATTTGCCTATCTCTTTGTGAACTGAGATAGAGATCAAGAGTCATGAATGGTTTTTGGTGAAAGGGTAGAGCGTGGGGAAGCACGAAAGGGGGTACAATGGAAGGACTGACAGATGATGTGTGAGGCCAAAATAGTGAGAGGGCTGGGTTTTAGACGTATCTAAAGCAGGGAATACATCTAGATAGAGTAGGTTGTATTTTGAAGTGGTCATGATTTTGTGGCTGGGAGGAGCCATGCTGGGGTGTCTAGAGGTTTGGGATGTGGATGTACTTGGAGTTGAGGAAGCACTCTATTAGGTCTAAGGAAGAAAAATGAGTAGATGTTGATATCAAGATTAATGCTTTGGAGGTTATTCTTGACATGCGTTCGGAACTTTGGACCTTGGTGTCTCACACTTCCACAATTTATTTTATGATATTTTACAGCTTAAGGCGCTTTATCCTAATGTAAGGCCGTATGCGAGTAGTGTCACCCCTAAAATTACTATTTTTTTTTCAAGGTTTTATGTTTTAAAAATATCGTATCCCCAAAGTATTATGACATCCTTCGTGGTGATTGCATAAATGTATAATTTTTTTTGTAAAAAATTATTTTTATGTAAAAAAGTTGCATATAAAAACTAAACAAAAATTTAACAAAATTGGGGTGAGGCTGTGTGGATGGCTTTTTATATTTTTGTCTTGTAAGGATAGCATAGAGTGAATCTTGCAGTCGTCAACTTTCTCTCATTTATATCAACATAATACACGTTTTACAGGTTGCGAACTGTAAGGTATTAATTTCTTCCGTCTCCGACTCAGGTCTCCAACCTTCTACACTAAACTCACACACACCACTCTAGACTAGGCCACTCCATCTCCCATGTTTACTCACTCTTCTTCACTCCACTAAGGAACTCTCACACAAAGGGAAAGGAAGAAGGAAGACACTGCACAAGGAGTATTCTTCTCGCAGGCTTATCTCACAAAGAAGGAAAGGAGCTGACTTTATAATAGGCAGTCAGCCTATTGAGAAGTCACGGGCATAACAACAGGACACTCACGGGTGTAGCCAAGACAACAACAGCTCACGGGTATAAGCAAGGCAAAAAATAAGGAGCAGCGGACAGAGGTGGGGTATACTCCAAATAAGTCAACATGCCACCAATGAGTGATTTCAACTCAGGGAATCAAAGTGGGAGTAAACATGGGGTGCAAGCCTAAATAATAAAGTGGCAGGGAGGCCTTGGTAGGACCAATACCTCCAACATTCTCCACCTTATTGGTCCTAAGTGGTGTAGAGTAGCAAAACAGGTTGTGAGGAGACTCATCATCGCCGGGTCACCCGGAATATCAACAGACACAACGGGCAAACACTTTATTAGGCAACCCACAGTTATCCACAATCAAAGTTTAACACGCGTTTACAGGACAAGTGCTTCTCAGCAGAAAGACACTTGGTACCCATATCCGCGGGGTTAAACTCGGACGGGATCTTGCACAGCTTGACTCCACCTGCATCAACAATATCACGTATGAAATGGAACCTAACATCAATATGCTTAGTTCTATCATGAAATACAGGATTTTTGCAAAGTTGGATAGCCGATTGGCTATCCGAGAAAATGGTAACTCCCTTTTTGAGAAACCCAATTTCGGAGACAAGGCGTTTGAGCCAGATGGCTTCCTTAAACGCTTCTGTGGCTGCAACATACTCGGACTCAGTGGTAGAAAGGGCCACAATAGGCTGTAGTTGAGACTTCCAACTAATGCAAGAGCCACACAAAGTAAAAACATAAGAAGTGGTCGACTTCCTGTTATCTCTATCATTTGCATAGTTAGAATCAACATAACCAATCAATTCAATACCACTAGCACATTTAGAGAAAATTAATCCATGCCTCACAGTAGAAATCAGATATCTAAGCAACCACTTAAGAGCATTCCAATGGGGCAAACCAGGGTTGGACATATATCTACTCAAGCAACTAACCGCATATGCAATATCAGGTCTAGTGCTAACCATAAGATACATCACCGACCCTATTGCGCTGGAATAAGGCACAGATTTCATTTTCTCAATTTCAGGAGCAGTCTTGGGAGACTGGTCCTTACTTAACACAAAGTGAGATGCCATAGGGACATTAACAGGAGAAGCAGATAACATATTAAATTTACTCAAAACTTTTTCTATGTAAGAAATCTGATTCAAAGTAAGAGTACGCTTACTCCTATCCCTAACAATGTTTATGCCTAGGATCCTCTTGGCATCACCTAGGTCTTTCATGGCAAAATTCGCACAAAGACATTTCTGCACATCTTTAATAGCATTCAGAGAAGGACTAATTATCAGCATGTCATCCACATAGAGTAACAAAAATACAGGCACAGAAGAAGTATTTTTGAAATACAGGCAATGATCACAAACAGATTTCTGGAACTTCAAAGATATCATGCATTTATCAAATTTGATGTTCCACTGCCTAGGGGATTGCTTCAGGCCATACAAAGCCTTCCTAAGCAAACAGACATGCTCACTTCTCTTGGGATCCACAAAGCCCTCAGGCTGGGTCATATAAATTGTTTTATCCAATTCACCATGCAAAAATGCAGTAGTTACATCCATCTGTTTCATTTCCCAGTCATGGTGAGCAACTAAAGCAAGCATCATACGAATAGTGGTGAATTTAACAACAGGAGCAAAGATTTCTGCATAATCTACCCCCTCTTTTTGAGTAAACCCCTTCGCAACCAACCTAGCCTTAAACCTAACATCACTAGGTTCTTCCTTAACCTTAAACAACCACTTACACTCAACTACCGAACAGTTGGGAGGTCTAGGTACAAGGGTCCAAGTCTGGTTCACTCTCAAAGAGTCCATCTCACTTTTCATGGCACTAATCCATTTCTGAGACTCTTTGGAACCTAAGGCTTCACGGTAGGTCTTGGGTTCATTCAGCTCTAGGGATTCAAACACAGAAAATGCAAACATAGAAGTATCATGCACAATGAAAGCATAATCAGGCATACTATCAGCAGTTCTCCTGATAGCCCTTCTACTCCTATCTCTAGCAAGTTGATAATCATTCAAATTATCACTACTAGGCTCCACATGCAACTCATGCAAATTATTGTTATCATGAAAATCAGATTCAGCACCCATATCATGCAAATCATGCTCAGTATCATGCAAATGCTCCACCTCACTCGAGGTGGTGGGACTATCATGCTCAGAGGAATCAGAATCATGCATAACAATATCATCAGTAATAACAGGATCAACAGACAAAGGACTAGCAGCCACAGGGACAGACTCCACCTCACTAGGAGTACTATCAGACCTAGACTCAGGATCAGAAACAGACTTGGTCAAGCAGGGAAAATCAGTTTCATTAAACACCACATTTCTGCTAAGGACCACTTTAAAGCCTACCTGGTTCCTATCCCATAACCTGTAACCCTTTACCCCCTCTGGATAACCTAGGAAGACACACTTCTTAGATGGGGTATACTCCAAATAAGTAAGGCAACACATGTGAGTGTCCTTGTCTTTGCATCACATGTGAGTGTCCTTGTGTCTACCAGCCTATTATTTAGTAGCTTTGCTTCTCCCTTGTTGAGGCAGCCTGCGTGAATTATAGAGAGAGCAGTGCCCTTCTTCTTCTTCTCCATTTCCTTTGTGTGAGAGTGTGAGAGAGAATACCTTAGTGGTAGAGAAGAAGCTTGGAGTTGTGTTGTGGTCTAGCCTAGGGTGGTGTGTGAGAGTATAGCAAAAGGGTTGGAGACCTGAGCCGGAAAGAAATCGACACCCAACAGTGAAGCCTTAGGTTCCAAAGAGTCTCAGAAATGGATTAGTGCCATGAAAAGTGAGATGGACTCTTTGAGAGTGAACCAGACTTGGACCCTTGTACCTAGACCTCCCAACTGTTCGGTAGTTGAGTGTAAGTGGTTGTTTAAGGTTAAGGAAGAACCTAGTGATGTTAGGTTTAAGGCTAGGTTGGTTGCGAAGGGGTTTATGCTCAACAACGAGTGCATAATTGGGTCATAAAACCGGAATCTGGAGGCACAAATGGGGCGGATGCTTAATGTACGCATATCTTTTCTTATTAAAAAATGACGCCTTTTTAGGTGTAGTTCATTGCAACTTTGATATTGACCACGTTAATGCCACTATGCATTCAAAACATTTTTGTGTGTTGTAATACCTAGTTTTTCGACGTGCGTTGCGCGTGCGGGATAATGCCAACTACCATGTAATATGTAAACTTTCCCTGATCATGTTGTGCATTTAAGCATAGAGATCATAGGAGGGAAGATGTGTTGTTACTTAGTACTTCCTTAATTAAAGTAGTGGTGTCTTTACATATTGATTTGTTTGAAATCATTTCAACCTCAAAGGTGAGCCTCTTTTACAATAACTACCGAAGAATTAAGAAAAATATTTATTTGAAAGTAATTATAACTTGACAAAAAACTATTATAGCATCACTATGATCCACCTTACATTCCTACATGATGGTAAAGTTTTCATTCTTGAATGCAATCTATCCATCACATCACAATTTGATAGGAAGTATAAATTTACTAATATTTTACAAATTACAATATACTCCATAGAACTTATGAGACATAAGCCTCGAGAGGTCACTTGGACTATCACAATGCCCTGCTGAATTTTTTCTCAAAATAAACAAATTGTTATTCTACCCCATTTAAAAAAATGGGAAATTGGTAACATTGGAAATACCAATCAAATTCCAAATAATATCATTCAATCAACGATTTTGAAAATCAAATCAAATGCACCTAGAGATGACCTCGCCATCATATAAGCAACTTATTTTTACCCTATGTACAAAAAATTGGAAGGAAAATGAAATGCATATATTCAGAACATTGGAAAAGGAGAACTATACATGGTATAATATGAGGTCTCTTTGTATTCAATTGAAAATCTAATGAAAGAGCACACTGGAAATTATAAACCAAAAGGTTGAAAAAAAAGTTGCTGAACATAGAATAGGGGAGTTTTTCATTCAAACCGCGCATGCCGCGGGTTACACTTTGGTTTTCTAACACTTAATTCTTTCCATTTTGTTGAAGAAAATTAGGTTTAGTTGTAGCTAATATTTTGGAAAACATTAATAAATTTGGTCTCCTTGTATGAGCCCTAACCCTCTAAACAATTATTTTTTGGGTTCACAAACAACCTTTAATATGCATACACTGGGAGGCTGCAGATATTTCTTAATAGTTATTTAGGCTTAAGAGGAAAGTTAAAAAGTTATAAAACTTTCTTTGTGCATAAAAAGTTTTTGAATTTTAATTAGTTTCACAAAAGAACTTTACTTAAAATTTCATACAAAAAAGAACTACCATGGCAATTACTTAAAAAACGGTTAGCAACCAAATAATAAGTTTTTCAGTTCTACTCTAACAGATACTTAAATTGTTCTGTAAATAAATAAAAAACGGTTCAAGAGATCATAAGTTACCTTTATCTTGTTCGGTGTTGCTCATGTGGAATAAAGCCTTGGTACTTTATACTTCCATTGAGCCTGAAAAATCTGGAAAGTTAATAAAGTTCACACATAATAGTAAGATACTCAAATTGATGCACAGTATAATAATTTGGGCAGGTTATAATGCATTACTTTATTAGAGCACATTCTTGAAAAGTGGAACAAAATGCAACTTCAAAGCACGGGGAAGATCAAGTCTCAAATACAAATACATTCTCGTAGTTTGAAATTATGAAGGTATGTGTATTGCATAAAATTTTGCTTTTCTACTATAAAATTTAGAAAACAAACTATGAAACAAACCGCCATATATAAATTTTGTATCTTTACCTTAAGGTACAAAAAAGGATGGTGAAACATAATTTGGACAAAACCCTTAACACTATATGTACAATTGTTTAGGAAAGAGTTAATTTTTAAATTGATTAATATCAAGGATAAGTTAAATTTGAGAAAAGACTTTAAAAACTCACCAGTTTTTCAAATAAAGAGATGTAGTTATTCTAACTCATATAACATATTTTTCTCCTAGTTATTCTACGGAGTATGATTTAATAAGATGGAGTGTTAGTTATTGAGAAATTGCCCATTATAGGAGTAAACATAAACATAATTGCACAAATAGGAGTCAAACTTAAAACTTGAGTAAACATTAATTTTGTACCCTTAATACCCCTAACCTAGTTAATTCTAAAATATGACTTATTTGATCCTAATAAAATATAAAAAATTCTAAAATATTTGAAAATATATATTGAAATAATAAAAATTAAAAAAAAAATATTTTTTTAAAAAAATAAAAAAATTTGAAAATAAATAAAAAATAGATAAACCACATTAAAAAATATAAAAAAATTATGCAGGCCTTTGCCGCAACCTCGGCCATCACCCAACAATGTCACCTCTGATCGGCGAAAAAAATGTCATCTTATGTTAAAACTTCCATTTTTCTTTGAAAATGCCATAAAGATGGCAGTTTTGCTCTTTGAAAATGCCAAATTTTCTCAAAATCTGCCATCATGATGGCATTTCGGAAAAATGTTGGCATTTTTTTCAGTGGTCAGAGCTGGTGGTGCTGGGAGGTTATTGATTTTTTAGCTTTTTTTTTAATTTTAATTTTTTAGTTTTTTATTTAATATTTTTATTTTAATAATTTTTACTTTTATTAATTTTATATAATACGAAGTATGTTTTATTTGGTATATTTTGTGCCTTTTCATTTTTTTACAATTTTATTATAAATTAATGTTATTCCTTTTATGTTTTAATTATTAATGAAAGTTGTTGGGACTTGGGTAGGGATATACTTGTCTAAACATTAAAGTTACTCCTATTCAAAACATGGTACTCCTATTTTTGCATTTTGCCTATCTTTTACTCGGGAATTCTCTCTTAGTTATTCTCAATCTTGAAAAAATAGTACCATTTGTCCTATTCAACTTTTTAGTTAAGCATATTAACAAACACTTAGCATGCTTAAAAAATCCCTTCAATTAAAGTAGACATGTGCTTGTAATACAATCGAATTCATCACCTAGCAAAAATAGAACTTGTAATTAAAATAGTAGCAAAGACATTAATGCATGATATAGAATGTAATTAATATTCCCAATCTAAACATAGTACGTCATCCAGGGGCGGATCCAGGATTTCATGTTGGGGTGGGCTGAAACACTTAAATGATAATACATTGAAAATTTTCAAAATAAGCAAAAAATAAAATATACTACGTAAGAGTTTTCCCCTAAATTTGTTCTCGATGAGGCTTTGAAACAAAAAAAATCGTCAACAATAAAGTCTACATCTATACTAAGAGTAAGGTCTTTTTTATACCAAGAGTAAGGTCTTCTTCAATATTAAGTGTCATGCAATCAGCAAGAAAGCTATCATCCATTTTGTTGTCGAGTGTTGTCTTTAGAAGCTTCATGAGAGAAATGATTGTTCTACTATTGCACTAGAAACACTAAGATCAATAGAAGGCCAATCAATTTGCTTATCATAACATATGAATCAGATGTTCTCCTCTTAGTCAACTCCTCACATAATTCAACAAGTGTACATATTTGAAACATTGTATGATTAGTCGCATCATGAACATAGTGTTGTAGCTCGAATTCCAAAGCACAAATATATATCCTGACTACTAAAATCTTCTAGATAAAACTTCCTTGCAAGAGTACAAATAACATCGGCATTGAACGACTCATATGAATTTTGGGATCCAATGAAACACTCAAAGAAAGGAGTTCCACTGATTTATCATTAAATCGGGTCCTTAACTTCATCAATACAAAGTTTAATGCCTCATTGCAAACATCAAAGTGATCGATAAAGATGCTCAACTGCAGTTTCTTTTCGGCAATGACCAACCATATATTTAGAATTCAACTCCGGTACATGAATTTTGTGTTTTGAGTAAAACTCTTTTACTTCTTTAAGAAAGCCTCCCCATCCATTTTCTGTCAATTCCTCGAGAATGAGGTGTAGTAGAAACATGTCTCATGGCTACCAAGATATCCAAAAAATTTTGAAGGCCTTACAGAGAATACTCATTATTCCCATAACTTTGTGCATCAAAAGTAAGAATGTTTTTACTTGGACTGTAATTTGTCCCAGACCAGATCAGACCAGACTTGGGTAGTTATAAAAATGCAAAGAAATCAGACCAGATCAGACCAGCAAATTACAGTCCAAGTAAAAACATCCTAAATTGAACACAAATCAAAACATGGAAATTAAAGTGTCTATATACACTACGAACTTCTGCCTGAGAACTCACTTTTGGGCAAATTTCCTGAAGATACTCAAGCACTTTACAAGTTGTTGTGAACATGCCAATCAATCTCTTAATTGAATCATATTTTATTGTATTTATTATATTTATGGCTTATGGGCTTTATATATGGCCCTTTACATATATATTGAGTGCCACTTATTAAGTGAGAGGTGATACATTTAACATTTAGATTAGATTTTTAGATGGTAAGATTTTGTTTTATGGGACTAGGCTGAAAATTTTGACGGGGCTATAGAAAAAATAGGGGTGGGCTGGATGGATTTTTTTTAAAAATAATACCTTAAAAAAATATTTTTTTTCTACTTTGCCCTAGGCTTCAGCCCACCATAGCCCTAACGTAGATCCTCCCCTGACGTCATCCCAAGTGCTTTTAGCCAGATCCCCATTAAAAAAATGTTTAACAATTTCTTCTGTGGGGTGTTTATAACAAAGGCATTTGGATGAAAACTGCATTCAAATGCTTATTTGGAACTCATAAGACAAAAATAACCCCAGAGTATTGCAAAGACAAAAATAAGAGAACATCTGAATTTGGACAAAAAAAGAGCTATTTTAACTGATAACCCAAAATTACCCCAACCCTTCACCCCATCTCCCCTATCTGAAGATCGCAATTCCCCTTCATACGTCTCCTTCCGTCTCTCTCTGGGATCTGCAAACCTGCTCATCTTACGACTCCAGAACCTCCGGTTCATCCCTCCCCCAACAACCGACAATGAATCCTGGCCGACAACCACGACTGATGCCTTCGTAAACCATGATTCCGGCTGCTTGCGTCTCCTTCCTTCACTCTTCTTCTCCTTCCTTATTCTCTACGGTGAAAATGAAAGGTTGTGGTGTTGGATTGAAGCCGGCGGCTAGGGTCTGGAAGGCGGCGAGGATAGGCGATGGGGTCTGGGAGGCTGAGAGGGGAGGGATCTGAGGATAAGATCAGAGGGGGCTACGAAGTTGGGAGGGAGCCAGGGAGGTGCAGGGGAGGGGTGCAGAGTACTGGTCAAGGAGAAGGGGAAAGGAGATGATTGCAGGGGTGGCCAGCGGAGGGAGGGGAGGGGATGGGGTGGTGCTGGTCACCGGTTGTGGCCGAATGGGGGGCTGGAGAGTTGGGGAGGGGGCTGGGGAGCGGATGGGGCGGCATTTACTGGACATGGCAGTGGTGGTTGCCGGCGGTGCCGGACATGGTGGTTGTCGGGGGTGATCGCCTGCGGTAATGACTGGACGTGGTTAGGTAACTGTAACTGATCAGGTAACTGGCGGGTCTGGTAACTGAAATTAGTCGGATGACTGTAATTGATCGAGTCAAGTAACTATAACGCAACGTGTAATTGTTAGGGTCATGTAAATATAATTGGTCTAGTAACTTGTCGGATCAGGTAACTATAACTGGAGCGGTAGTGACGGGAATACTAGTCACTGGAGCGACAATAACCGAAATGGTGGTCACTGGAGCAGTGGTAACTGGGACGGTGGTCACTGGACAGGTAGTAACTGAGATGATGGTCACTGGAGCGCTAGTAACTGAGATTATGATCACCGGAGCGGTAGTAACTGAGACGGTAGTCACTAGAGCGGTAGTAACTGGAAATCAGTTATTGGAGCAATTGTAACTGGAACAATTGCTGAAGCTAATTTTTATGTAATAATTAAATACTTCCTCCGTTCTTAAATAAATGCAACAGTCAACATTTCACATTTGCCAAGACACGACTTTGACCATTAATATATATAATTATATATTAGTAAAAAAATTAAAAAAAAATAGATTTTGAAAATTTACAATGAGACAAAAGTAACAATATTTTTTCATAAAAAAATATTAATACATTAATTAATAAAATGTATTCAAATACATTTATTTAAGGATGAAAGTAGTATTTAACTATGTAGCTTGAGGAAAAACATCAAATTAAAAAAAAAAACATTAATTATTAGAGATTGCAATGCAATGTACGTTCTTGCAAATACAAAATGATTGCAATGTTACGGAGTATTAAGCAATGAATGCATGAATTGGTCCGCGGTGCAATGTAACGTACTACACGCTACTTGCAGTTTCACCGTTTGCAATTTGACGGAAATTAACTGACCGGAAATTAACTATGAAGGGTAGTTTAGACAATATAGAGGTTTATTAGTCAGATGTTTGGAAATTAAAAGAAAAGGACACTTTTTTGTCTATTAACTCCTTTTTACTAATATTCATGTCAAAACCCCATACAGTAATGCCAACATTTTCCTACAAGCCAATCAGGAGCTTTAGTTTGCCATTTTATTTAAGCCCCCATCCAATAAGACATATTAGGATATCCTGCACTCATCATACTTGAATCGAACAAAACATACAGAATACCTATACTTGAAAAAACAGGCCATTGGGTAACTCTAAATGCATAGAGAGCCCAAAACCAGGCTATTGCTTTGGTAAGGACTATATTTGATTTTT